AAAGGGGAGGAGCCATGGAGAGAGGCTGTGGACGGTGGAGGTTATGTCGGAATCTAGGCCGAGATGGCGGAGGATGGGGCCGGAGAGGAGGAGGAAGGGGAGGAATACGGTGGTTATGGCTGCGTCGATGATCCATGATCTTTGCAAGTATATCCCCATCGCGTGGTTTTGTCCTGCTCCGTACGCTTGCCCGCATAATGTCTCCGTCGCACTGGACATCCCCGCCTATACATACATTCATTCATTCATGCACATATATGTCTGATCTCATTCCATCATGGAAATTTGTTTGGATGTCCTTTTGGAACAGAAAGTTTTTTTTTTTTAGTTTACCATAGAGTATAAATTACAATTCACACGTTTCTAAAATATTTTATTTTATAAAATTAGTTTTTTTTATTTCATATATTCAATTCTTTAAATTTTCTAAATTTTATAAATTATCTTAAACATCCTGACCCTTAATTCAACGCCTCATCATTCGAAACCAGTTGTTTTGTAATGCCATATTGTAATATTCATCGAATAAATGATTAAAGTCGATACCTACCAATTATATGAAAGGGAAAGCCTATAAAGAAAAAAGGCCTCTTGTAAAAAAGTATAATTGATGAAAAAACAATGGCAACCATTTTGTATATTTTTATTTCAGAGAAAATCCTGTCCAATCATACATTAACGTCTAACAAACTAACGTGTATATAAACGAATATGTTATGTAAGTGGTCACAATTCTACGGCCAATCAAACAATAATTTGAATTTACAAATTTTGGGACGTTAAAACTTCTTTCTAATTTGGCAAAGAAACAATAAATTACCATTGTTATATATAAAAAAAACATTGAGTCATTTCTTGCTTATATGCATGAGAAACATTTGTATAATATTGGACCATTGTTTCAGGAGCACTCGCTATCTACTCTTTATATATTTTCTAACAAAATATCATTTATGTATGCTACAAACATCTGAATAATCATATCGGAGATGCAAATGTATCTTAACTATCGAAAAAGAAAGAAAGATCAAATACGTGTGTGTATATATTATATACACACACATATACATATGCGCATACACAGTTTTATTCAACCAAAACGTGACATGCATGCATGCGCCAATATATATATTATGAACACTTTAATTTGGAGGTTAGTTAGACTAGGGTTGGCAAATAATACTATCATATAATAGATTAAAAACACCAGTCGCGTCATGTGTTAGCTAAATTTGCCCGCCACTAATTAATAATTGTTTATTTGAAAAAAAAAGAAAAAGGTTAAAGTTTAAACCGACCCCATATCTAGCTTACGTTACATTTATATTGTTATTATTAAGGGCATTGGTGGTGAGATCCATAAGCTAGTTCCACGTGATTAGCAATCAATAACCCCAATTAATAAACTAATCCGATCATCGATATAAGATAGGGTTAATCAATTAAAAGTTGAATAAATAAAAAAAGAAAGTGGAATTTTTCTTTTTTACCAATAAACCATTCAAGAAACGGACGAAGATGTTGTGGAGAAGAGAGTAAGCAGCGAGAGGAAGATCCCCCGAATGTCCGACGAACGACTGAGCCACCACTATTGTCCCGAACGACGTCACTCTAAACATCGTCGACGGCAGCGCAATCCTCCATATCATCTTCACCTCTTCCCAAACCTTCTTCCTCACCCAGAGACTCTCTTCCTCCTCCTCCCCTCCATTCCCCTTCCCATTAAGCCTCTCTTCCGTTCCTCCCCTCATGACCTTTATCCTATGCAAACATATATATATATATTATAGTTAATTAACGGATGGAGCATATGAAAGATTGAGATTTGTATTTTTCTTGATGGTCATGGTATATGTGTACCTGTTTAGCTTCAGTGCAGTAGGGAAGAAGACGGGGAGTATGCGAGAGAGTTTGTAAGCATATATGTCTCTATATATAGAGACACCTCCAATTATTTAGTCGTATTATATAAATCGGATATATTAGTAAATAAAAGTCGTTTAATTTACTAATTTTAAAATCGAGTGTGTTGTTAGGTGAAATGACCGATTATGCCACTTGGGCAAAACCCCTGCTCGCTTTGTTGACTTGGCCACCATTATTGTGCCACAGGGCCAAGGCTGTCTCTACATCTACCATCTTACGATCGAAATAATAATAAAAATTTTGATATTTATTTTCAAAACATTACGTACTTAAATCTTACATTTATTATTAGCATGCAGTCTCATTATATATTAATAATTTCCCGATAACCCACATTAGATATTCAAAGATTTTCCCCCGATATTAATAAAATTTGTCAAATAAATTAAAAATTACACACTTAATTATTACCAAAAATACTATTAGAAATTTCAACGCAGGTGACCCAGATGGGATTTTGTATTAAAACTGCAAGATATAAGAAAATGACTACTGTATTAATTATATGAAATATATGACTTTGTTCCATTATTTGTATGGTTTTTTTTAAGTGTAACGAAATGTGGATAACTCGTTAATTTTATTTGCATTTCATAAACTAGGAATTTTATTCGACCGCTTTCACCAAGGTTCCAATTCCATGAATAGCCAAATTGGAAATGTCCAAGCGGTGAAAGCATGATATGGCCACGGAATCCCCCCGCGGATTTTTCAACCACAACCTTAGGCTATAATTAATTTCAAAAAATCCGATAATATATATGGACATTCGCATGAATTCCATTTATATCCACGTTTTCCCTGTAAAAAAGGATTATTTAGAGATACAACAACCAAACGATTCGATCTTCCACATTGAACAAAAAGTAATAACAGAACATCAAATTTTTAATAAATAATAATATTGTTTTCTCAATTTCGATAGAGATGCGATCCCATAGACTGACAATTGCATTAACCTAATAACGCAATCTTAATATATATATATATATATATATATAATTGTTTTTGGCAAATGGGAAAGCATTATCTTTTAAAAGGGTAAATAAGAAAAAAAAAGATTTTAAAAAGGGGGAATAAAAGAATGCGGTCCAAATATTATCGACCATTTTTCATTTCCTCTCCGTCGATTCTTCTTCAGTCGATGGCTTCAGAACCCACACTTTGAGGCGTTCGTTTGTCTTCTTGACCTATCAAAATAAAATAAAATTATATAAAATATATATTTCTGACCGTAATATTCCATTTTCCACCTCTATTCATTGATTATTCTAATAAATTGAAATTAGGATATATTGTATAGTTTTTCCCAAATCGAAGGGATAAAAAATGGAATTACCTCCATTTCCCAATCCGTTTTGTAAATGACGTAACACAATATAAACGTCTGGACTGCCACTCCTCCCAACATCCCAGCCCAAAGTCCCTATAAGCAAAGTTAAATCATTAAAGCTCTATATTATTAATTTCCGTAAAAAAAAACTCTATAAAAACTTTATGTTATTACAAAAAAGACTTTTTTTAATTGGAATATCTTTATCAATATTCTATACTATTTTTTTTTTCTTATAACTTCTCCTATTAGTATATATGGTTAGAGTATTCTTCTTGTTTTATTTAATTCAAGGTTTGTATTTGTGTATGCTATGCACAAACATTTAGTAAATATATCATTTTGCAATTCATAAATGTTGGTATGGCCATTTGAAGCACCAAACCCTACAAGACAAGCATTAATATTCAAGAGGCATTTATATTTTAAGGCATATATTTAACAATCGTAACGATTAATGTGTTTAATGGGACGGCCGACCAATCAAATTGACATAAAAAGAAAAGCAAATAATCATTTAAATAACCAAAAAAAATTACCTTAACCCCAAGATGGAAAACATAAGAAAGGACCAGACCGACGGGAATACCGACGGCATAATAAGTTCCCAAGTTCACAACCGCGACTATACTCTGCATGCCTGCTCCCACCGCCACGCCTATTCACTCGCGTATATATATACTAATCATTACACTCATATAATCATATATTCGCTTAGTAAATTTATTTATTAAGAGATGTGAAATTCACCTGAGAGAACGGGTTGGATGCTGTTTAACAAGATGGATGTAGCCAGAATCGCGGAGAGATCCGAAACAGCGGCCGCGACCTCGTCGCTGTCCGAGAACAAGTACGACATCTGACCGCAGAACGCCAAACACAAGACCGAACATATCAGTCCGACCAATGCCGAGACGGCAAGAATCACTTTTATCGAGAATCTCACTGCATCCGCATCTCCTTTTCCCAACTCATTTGCCACCCGAACACTGCAGATATGTGTGTGTGTGTAAGAAGCATGAAATAAGTGGAATATATACATATATATATATATACTTACACACACTAAGGGTCTAGAAATGAAATCCGAAATATATTGGAATCAAACTATGGGGGAAAAAGATTATTTGGGTATGGTAGAATGGTGTGTACGCACCATGCTGCACCCATGAAGCCAAGGCATATGTTGAACTCCCATGTGTAGATATATTGGCTGCAAAATCAGAAGAATTACAATATATTTACAACTTTGGAATTTTCATAATGTACGTATGCATACTAATTAATGGAATCATAAGAGGCTAGCTAGATTTGGCATGACTTACCATATGGAAAAAGCAGAAATTGCAATTTTTGCATCTTTTGTATATCCTGCGATCAGTACAAGAATGCTGAAGTACCAGTACTCCAAACTGTTCCAAGCATAACCAAAAGAGAGGAATCATAAAACGAAAATCAACATAATAAAAACCCTAACCACCAAATCTCTTATAAATTGAAAGACCACATACCATATCATGAAACCGGATGATACCGAGAGCTTGAGCATAGGCATCAGATCGACAAGAGAAGCCATACTGAAACCGGTCCAAGTGAAAGGGCACCAACCTCCGAACACGTAAACGAGCTCGCCGATCACCATAGCCCACGAGCTTATGTTCAAACCGAGCAAGGCGCCATTGATACCCAGCCCCATCTTGTTAACAAACCACCACGTTAGGGCTATGTCCAGAACCAGAGAGAGAGTAGAGATAACGCCTATAATGGCGTTCTTCATCTGGGCCTGGAGGTACATCTGCATTGTCATCGAGAAGATGAGGCTGTATACGTAAGGTATGATCCAAGGGTAGATCTCTTCAATGGTGTAAGTGAGTTCCGGGTTTTGGCCGAGCAGCCTAAGGATCGGGGCGGAGAGGATGATGAAGGGGAGGAAGAGAGTGGTTATCGCCGCGTCCACTATCCATGAACGCTGAAGGTATATTCCCATCATGTGGTATTGCCCCGCTCCATAAGCTTGCCCGCATAGTGTCTCGGTCGCGCTCGACATGCCTCCCTACAAATATATACAAATCCATGTAACCATATTGATATTTTTCTTTTTTGTTTTGGTTACAGAACTTTGGTACGTTGATATGTGTAATTGATGTCAATGTGTGTGCAAGTTTTGGAATAAATTGGCGTGTTTTCTAGATGGGGTGAAAGTATTACAATTAAGTAAACAATTGGACTAAGTGCGCATATTAATTTGTTTATTATATACTTAAAGGATAATTTGTATGTTTATAATAAACGTTAAAGTTACAAACATTCCATGCATGCACCGAAAAATAAAAACACTACGATTATTCTACTCACCACAAATTCATAAACGAAAGATGACCAGAAAATGCTTAATCATTCGAATTATATACGACAGCAGTAAGTATCAGACTTTCGTTGTTACATACCTAACATCTATGACTTTAATGGCGTCTGCTTGAATATTCTACTAAAATATTCTTCCTCTTTCGAATAAAAAAAATACAGAAATAAGAAGGGTGGTACCACACTATATAATCAAATGCCTATCCTTATCATATGATTATATTGTCATTTAAATCTTTCAAAATCTTGATTGGCAAAATCTATACGAACAATCAGATTTCCATATAAATGAGCACCCATATACGTGTATATATGTATAGTCACACGCATGAGTTATAGGGTAAGACGATATTGCCGGGTAGAATAGAATTATTAAATAATGATTGTCCGTAACTGAAGAAAATCACGAGAAAATGGTCAGAGAAGGGGGCAACTTTGGAGGTTTCAGACCCACGTGACAAATTGCGACGCAGTCGCAGTGGACTGGTCCGACAGGAGTCACCCATAATAAATTATTTAAACTTTTAATAATACAGATGGATCTAAATTAGAAAGAAAAAACCTACACAAAATAAATTTAAATTAGATCTGATGTGGGTTTTGTAACTGAGCCAACACCAATAAGGTTTAACTTTCATGCTCGCACTTAGATACGTCCAAAACTAAGCTATGGTATACATCTATATATTGTCGTATATATCTATCCAAACAGAGAGTGTATATATATACATATTGAAGCGATTATATACGTATATGGCTTACGAGGAGACCGTAGAGGAAACGGATGAAGGTGCTCTGGAGGAGGGCGTAGGCGGCGAGGCCGACGTCGCTGGTGTGGCCGATGAACGACTGAGCCACGACTATGCTTCCGAACGACGTCACTTTGAACATCGTCGAAGGCAATGCGATTCTCCACATCTTCCTCACCTCGCCCCATACCTTCTTCCTCAAGTAGAGACTACTCTCACTCTCCGATCCTTGAAGCAGCCTCTCCTCCATTTTTTTTTAATATTTTTTTTTCCGGGCGAAAAGGAACTGTTAAACCCTGCAAAAGAAGCAGGAAAAAAAAAAGACATGGTGAACAGTTTCTTTTTTTTTTAATGGACAAATATCTTGAATGATCTGTTGAGAGATCAGATACAAGATACAAGAACAGAGAAATGGTGTCGCATGGATCAGAATGAATATAGTAGTTGTATACACACACACACACACACATATATATATATATATGCGTGTATATATATATATTGGTCGAATAAATGTGGCAATTTACCTGTTTGAAAATAATTCAAGGGAGATGGGTCGAGAGCAGGAAGAAGAAACCCAGAAGAACAAGAAGAGGAAAATGTTTTATCAAAAAAAAAAAAAAAGAGGAAAATGTGTGTGAGGAAAAATTGAAACGCCTGACCATATATATATAGGGAGAGACACGTGTATCTGCATGTGTGTACAAATGTGTATGCATGCGTAAAATACGCCCACGTCGTATGTGAAGAAAAAGAAAATATTTTCTAAAAAAGATGACTATTGTCGACTAATAGCTCCAAATCCAAAATTATAATATTTTTCTATCACACATATATGTGATATTGTTACAATCGTTTCATTGAATAAAGTATTTATTTTGGTGCCCAAGAAAAAAAAACTGTCTATTAATAAGATGGAATCGTAACGATCCTCGCTTTCATCCAGTTGAATCTCCACCTGTTTTTTTTTTTTAAATTTCGCGCAAAAAAAGCCTAAAAAATTGAATATTCTTTTTTACTCTTGTACACCGTTGTCATTTTTACCGTATCTTTCTGGAATCTGAGCCCCATCAGCCGTCATCTCACCGTCAATTGTCCGTACGCATGCAATTGGGACTCTTGATTGGTATCTTTTTAGGGGCCTTATCGTTCGCATATCCTCCTTACGGTAAAATAATTTTAGAGAATATATTTAAACCCAAATAATCATATATCGGCCAGCTGTTTGCAAATATATAACATATATGCCATTGTAATATCTAAAACTATACTTGGAAATTATGGAAAAAATCTACGGAATAATCTCTATTTTTCTGAAAACAAAAAACCCATTGCAAACACCCTCGTCCTTTTAATTTATAATTGATATTTTTCCATTTTGGAACATATCGCATGCATCATGCACCATCAATTTCGTCCAGTATTGCTGTTCCTATAATACACCAACATCTTTTAACATATGCAAAGAGTCACATATTATTATGTCATGTGCAAACGGAGATTTAAAATTTATTGAAGTTTTGAAAAAGTTAATAAATCAAAAGGTGAAAATAATAGTTTTAATGTAAATTTGGCCCCTTTTTATGTCTATGTAAATTGTATATTGGTCTCAATTCCCTATACGATAACGTTTTATGATTTAAACTTTTCATTTAAAAATCAATTACTTACAAGTATAAGAAAGGACAATTTGCAGTAATAATATTTTAAAAATTAGGAGATTAAGCCCTACAAAAAGTCTCCTACAAAAATCATTACATATTTATATGCTAAAGGGAACTAAGGCTGTTTTCTATAAGCCAGAATTTATATTTCAATTTGCAACTTTTGGGTTTCATTTTTTAATAACTATAATTAAATACAAATATGCCATAATCATACATGCATACTTATGTACATTTATTTAAAACAATATATTGTGGAAATTGTTGACAATTTAATATCGACTATCATGGAGTGGAGTATTGATATTACGAAAATACCCTCACGCTTTTCGTTAGAACAGATTACGTCCCGTTTCCTTAGGAGAGACTCGAACTACAC